TCAATAAACTTATCATTCTTGGTTGTCTCCACACATGAATCACAAAAAGCTGTGGGATAAATCATATCAAGGATTTTGTTAGGTGCCAGCTTTGACTACGTGGTCAATGTCGGTCAAAGGGAGGCTCAAGGGTATATTAAGGCATGTTAGGGTAAAGGACAAAAACCTATCCTAGGGCTCACAGTGGAGCGGCGGCGCAATGGAGCTTTTGAGGTAGCTCGGGGGTGGGTTGGGTGGTGAGGAACCTCAAGAGGTGGCGTAGCATAGTCTAGGGCAACTAGATCTTTGTCTTTTTGCGCCGGATCATAACATTGGTATTAGAGATAGGTTGGTTGCGATGGCCAACCAAGCTGAACGCTGGAATCCTATCATCGATGGTGGTGCCGACGATGGTGCCGACAAAGCTGCGGAGATTTGGACCATTCAAGATGTGGTTCATGAGCTGCGAGCCCTTAATAAAAATCAGCAAGAGATGCAAGACGAGATGCATGGCATGATGGATACCATGCGTGGGCGTGTTGAGGCACTCGAGGCTAGACAGGGTAGCGCTCCAAGTAAGCCTTCTTTGGTAGATCGACTCAAGATTCCAACCTTTTTCGGTGATGGTAGTGTGGACGAGTGTCTCACTTGGCTAGCCAATGTGAAGAAGTTCTTGGCTGCTAGAGGAACTCCAGATGCAGAGGCTTTAGTGGCTATTCCGATGGTTTTGCATGATGCGGGTCTTCGATGGTGGAATTGGCTTGAGGAGTCCCGTGTTGCGAATAAGAAACCACCAGTGTCTACCATGGATGAATTTGAGGTTGCTTTTCGTTTACGTTTTGCCCCTCATTACGACGTGGAGAATGCTCGTACAGAACTTCGTCATTTCCAGCAAGGGAAAATGACGCTCGGGGACTATATTGAGAAGCTTACTCGCTTGATTAGTCGTGTTCCAGGATCCAGATCAGAACAAGTCCTACTTCATTGATGGCCTACATAATGAGAGCATGCGGCAACACTTGCGTCATTCTCAGCCTACAAAGAGTTTGGAGGAGCTCTTTGATGCAGCTCGTCACCTTGACAATGACAAGCACAAGTCTCGCAAGCGTTCGCGGAGTCCTTCTGTCGAGAATCGTCGTGATAATCGCCATGGACACAAGGATGGGAACAAGCATCACAAGTTGAAGTCAGTGGTGACTACTTCAGATGCAAAGGGGTCCAAGAAGCAGAAGTTCTTTGTGAAGAATTATAGACAGTCATCATTGCGGCGAACTTGGACACTACAAGGCTGATTGTCCGCAGTTGAAGAACAAGCAGTAGGACAAGAAGAATGGCCAATCATCTTCTCACGGTAAGTCAGATACTAAAAAGTTGCAAGCTTTATAGCGTGAGGATGACGAGAGCTCGAGGATACGCGTGAATCAGCTTTAATGTTGGAGGGCGTGTTCCGTGGCGATCCAGTGCGGATTTTACTGGATAGTGGGAGCGATGACAACTTTGTTTCGGCAAAGTTTGTTGCGGAGCATCGCCTGAACACACGTGGAGTTCTTCCATACACAGTGGAAGGTGCAGCTACCTCTGCTCAGCATTTCGATGCTTGTGTCGAGGGGCTAGAAGTGTTGGTTGGCAAAACCACATTTGTGGAGACTTTTTATCTCGCGGATATCCATCGTGTGGATCTCATTCTTGGGATGCCATGGTTGGTGAAGGTGGATCCAGAGATAAAGTGGAGCATTAAGCGTATCTCGCTGGAGTATAGTGGCGTTAAAGATGTGTGGTTTGGCGAGGGCGTTCAACCACCAGTTGTTATGCTCTCTGCTACATCTTTGAAGCGGGCTTGTCGTAATGGAAAAACACTTTCAAGTTACTTGCTGTTTGTTCGTGACTTGAGGGACCAAGGCACGTGTGGGGGAGAAGCAGCAGTACGGGATGTACTTGACGAGTTTTCTAATGTTTTTCCATCTGAACTTCCTCATGGATTGCCTCCATTACGAGGTGTGGAGCATGGGATTACATTGGAGCCGGGGACGCGGCCAATTTACCGACGTCCATTTCGGTTAAACTATGTGGAGGAGCAAGAAGTTCAACGACAAGTCAAGGAGTTACTTGAGTTTGGATTTATTCAGCCAAGTATGTCTCCGTTTGGTGCTCCGGTCTTGCTTGTGAAGAAGAAGGACGGTTCAATGCGGATGTGTATTGACTACCGTGCTTTAAACAAGAAGACAGTGAAGGACAAGATGCCGATGCCACGTGTGGATGATATCCTGGACAAGCTTGGTGAAGCACGAGTGTTTACCAAGATTGATCTGAGGAGTGGATATCATCAGATTGTAATGGATGATGCATCTATCTCCAAGACGGCATTCAACACAAGCTTCGGACATTTTGAGTTTACCGTTATGCCGTTTGGTTTGACGAATGCACCAGCCACATTTACTCGGTTGATGACGGAGGTCTTTGGGCGTTATCTTCACGAGTTTGTGGAGATTTTCTTGGACGATATTCTTGTTTTTAGCAAGAATATGGAGGAGCATAGGGTGCATTTGCGCAAGGTTCTTTTGTTACTTCGAGATAGCAAACTTTATGCGAAGAAGAGCAAATGTGAATTTGCAAAGTCGGAGGTGGAATATCTAGGCCATATTGTGACATCTAAGGGTGTCAAGACGGATCCAAGGAAGGTGGTTGTGGTGGAAAACTGGCCTACACCGACTACAGTGGCTGAGTTGCGCAGTTTTCTTGGTATGGCTAGTTACTACCGACGTTTCCAGCATAAGTTTGCAGAGGTGGCTATTCCTTTGACGCAGTTGTTACGTAAGAATGTGCCATTCGAGTGGAAGACGCCACAAGAGGAGAGTTTTGTGGCGCTGAAACAATTGTTGAGCGAGGCTCCAGTGCTTCGCATTGCTGATCCATCGAAACCTTACGAGGTGACATGCGATGCGAGTGGTTATGCACTGGGAGGAGTTCTCATGCAAGAGGGACAGCCTATTGCATATGAGAGTCGAACTTTGAATTCCGCTGAGCAACGCTATTCCACATATGAGCAAGAGTTACTCTCTATTGTTCATGCTTTGCGGACGTGGCGGCACTATCTTTATGGTGCAGTGTTCGTAGTGTTGACAGATCACAAACCACTTGTGTATCTTTTCACACAGAAGGAGTTGAACACTAGGCAAGCTCGTTGGATGGTCAAACTCATGGAGTTTGGGGGGTTTCCTATTGAGCATCGTCCGGGAAAATCAAATGTGGTGGCGGATGCTTTATCTCGTGTTCGTCATGTGACGACGTTACGAACACGATTTTGTCATCATTTGAGTAAGGTGGTCAGCGAGTTTGGGCAATTGGTTGAGCATGCTCAAGCTCAGGATGCTGAGGTAGCCTCTTTGCGAGCCCAGATGGAAGCCCCTTTCTCATTGGTGGATGGGATTCTCTACTACAATGGTTGTGTCTATTTGCCACAGGTGGATGTGTTAATTACTCAAGTTTTATTCCACTATCATGATCGTCCAAAAGCCGGTCATTTTGGAGGGAAGAAGACGTATGAGTTGATTAAGTGCAACTTTTATTGGAGGAATATGAAGGCTGATATCCTCAAGTATTGTAAATCATGCGAGCTTTGTCAGCGGGTTAAGGTGCCACGGGAAAAGCCGGGGGGACTTTTGCAACCTTTACCTATTCCTCAGAGCCGTTGGTATAGTATCTCTATGGACTTCATCACTTGTTTGCCACGAACACAGAGGCAAAAGGAGCAAGTATGGGTCATAGTGGATCGGTTGACGAAGTATGTGCGGTTGTTGGCTCTTCGGAAGACTGTCACTGCCTCAGACTTGGCTGCGGTTTACTTGGAGAAAGTTTTTCCTGATTTTGGTTTGCCGGAGGACATCATTAGTGATCGAGATTCAAAGTTCACTAGTGGATTTTGGAAAAGCTTTGCAAAGGCTATGCAAGTGACTTTGAAACTCTCGAGTGGAGATCATCCTCAGACGGATGGGCAAACTGAGCATGTGAATCAGGTGGTGGAGGATATGCTACATTGTAGCATTGGTCAAAGGCAAGGACAATGGGATTTATATCTTCCGTTAGTGCAATTTGCTTACAACAATAGCCAACACAGTGGAACCAAACTAAGTCCTTACTTTGCCATGTTTGGAAGGCATCCTCGAACAGCGGTGGAGTTGGGATTGCATTTGAGTAAAGACGTTCAAGAAAAGCTTGATTCCGAGGCAACTGATTTGGCCACAGAACTTGATGAGATTCTAGTGGTGTGCAAACGGAATTTGCAAGCAGCTCAGGATAGAGCGGAGAAGTTTGCCAATGAGCATTGCCAATTCCGGGAATATAAGGTGGGTGATCTCGTCTTCGTGCGAGTGATCTTTCCGTCAAGTGAACGGCGGAACACCTTGGTGCCTTTATGGATAGGGAAGAGTGATAAACTCTCCCATCGATATGCTGGTCCATATGAAGTGCTGGAGCGCATTGGTAAAGCAACTTATCGGGTGCGGCTGCCAGCTGGGGTGAAAATTCATCCGGTATTTTATGTCAGCTAGTTGAAAGGTGTACTATCTCAGAGTGACGGGCCCAATGCCTCCTTGATGTATACGGTTGTGGAAGATGGACCAGGAGCTTGAGCAGGATTCCCCAGAAAGGGTGATCACCAGTACAACTCGTCCTTGGGACAAGGACTTTGTTGCGGGGGAAGAATTGTTAGGCGCCAGCTTTGACTACGTGGTCAACATCGGTCAAAAGGAGGCTCAAGGGTATATTAAGGCATGTTAGGGTAAAGAACAAAAACCTATCCTAGAGCTCACAGTAGAGCGGCGGTGCAGTGGAGCTTTTGAGGTAGCTTGGGGGTGGTTGGGTGGTGAGGAACCTCAAGAGGTGGCATAGCATAGTCTAGGGCAACTAGATCTTTGTCTTTTTGCGCCAGATCATAACAGATTTGGCACTGTGGAGAGAAAGCAGCCCTTCTTGTTGATGAGATCGGTCCAAAATGGTGCCATGCACGGAAGAATGCATCCTGCGGCAAGAGTGGGCTTGTTTCATATGTGAATTTCCGAGAAGGCAACAAGAGATACGTATATACTCTACCACGTAAAAGAATATTCTAATAAAATTAAGCATATCCTTTTTCTCTCTCTATCACTTTCCTCTGTACACCGCGGAGCGAGCCACGAGAAACTCTTTGAGCGCCTCGACTGTGGGCAGCGCGAGCTTGGCAGCGGGATGCGCGAGTACGGACTGGAAGAAGTTGTGGAGACGCGGGCACTGCTCCTGGCTCGCGGGCTTCAAGCCCATCACGCCCACAATCCCTGGGATCCACACCGCGTAGGGGGCGAGCATCACATCCAAGAACGACATTCTCGCTCCGCCAAAGAATGGGCCTTCTTCCTCATTGCCCAGCTTCGTGAATGCTCCCTCGAGAAGCTCGCAGTTCTCGATAAACTCCTCGTTCTTGGCGTCTCCACGCATGAATCGCATCAAGCAATCCAGAAGCTGTGCGATGGATCACATCAGGGATGTGTGGCTCTAGAGACGCATACCTTCTTGTCGATGAAATCGGTCCAGAAGCGATACTCTGCGCGGAGGGAAGCGTCCGGAGGCAGCAGTGGAGATTCTCCGCGCCAGACCTCGTCGATGTACTGAACAATAATGACCGATTCCACAATGGGCTTCCCATTGTGGATGAGAACCGGGACCTTCTTGTGGATTGGATTGGATTCGAGCAGGAGCTGGCCCTTGTTCCTCAGGTCCTGGGGAAGATCGTCGTGCTCGATGCCTTTGAGTAGCAATGCAATCTTCACTCGCAGAGAAAAGTGGCTCACCCGGGAGCTGAGCAGCGTCACGCCTTCCATGGATCCGGAATGGATTGGAAAATGAGGTCTCGAGAGAACAGTAGAATTCTAGAATGCGATAAATCCAAACAGTAGTGACATTGTCATTATATTACATTAGATACCTCCAACTTTTTCTTGTTATTAATGCAAAGGCTATCTACTTCTTTACCGCAAAGCGAACCTGGATAAATTCCTTGAGCTTCTCGACCGGGGGCAGTGCGCCCTTGGCAGCCGGATGCTCGGACACGGCCTCGAAGAACTTGTGGAGACGCGGGCACTGCTCCTCGCTGGCATGCTTCAAGCCCATCACTCCCACAATCCCGGGGATCCACACGACGAAGGGAGCGAGCATCACATCTAAGAAGGAGAAGCTCGCGCCGCCGAAGAAGGGACCCTCTTGTGTACTTCCCAGCTTCGTCAAGGCCCCCTCGAGAAGCACGCAGTTGGCGATGAATTCCTCGTTTGCGGCATCTTTGTCGTTCCCGTGCACGAAACGCATAAAGCAGTCCAGCAGCTGTACAAGCAAAGGCGTGAGATCGAGTAGATTTCTCGAGATTTATAAAACATACCTTCTTGTCGATGAAATCGCTCCAGAAGCGGTGCTCTGCGCGGAGGAATGCGTCTTTCGGCAAGAGTGGCGATGTTCCAGGCCAAACCTCGTCGATGTAGTGGACGATGATGGCCGACTCTGCGATGGGCTTGCCCTTGTGGATGAGAACCGGGACCTTCTTGTGAACTGGATTGGACTCGAGTAGGATCTTACTCTTGTTGCCCAAATCCTCGGGGAGATCTTCGTGCTCGATGCCCTTGAGCAACAGTGCAAGCTTGGCTCGCATCGAGAAGGGGCTGGGCCAAAAGGTGAGCAGTGTTACATCTTGATCACTAGAAGCCATTGGAATTGGGAAATCGAGAAGAAAGATCTGGAAATGCGAGAGGCTGGAGAAAGGTTTGTTGGAGTCGCGCTTTATATAGTCCGTGTGATCCACGGGGAGCGGAATTTCCGAGAAACAGGAGACGAAGGCTTCAAGGGAGTTCCAGAACATAATTCGTACCTTCGTTAGGCCACGATTGACTGAGAAGAGATATTCGAGAAGAGATCTTCGTGAATGTCCGTAGAACACTTAAGTTTTTAACCCGGTTATTCCCAAGCCCACCACCCGAGCGACCACAGTTTGTTAGACCGAAGCCAAAGATCACGATCGAGTGTCGGTAGAACACAAGTCTGTGAACAGCATCAGGTTATTCCGAGAGCCACCACCCGATGCCGCTGCCTTTCTCGCCGCGTCCCTGAATTCCCTCGTTCTCGCCTTTCGAGCTTTGTCGTTGACGATCCTCGCAATGGCCTCAGCAATCTCCTCCCGCTTCACAAACGCGTCGGAGCTCCTCCCGTCCGAAACTTCCACCCCGATGCGGCACCTCTCCGCCATGATCTTGCGGTTGAGCCCCTGCTCGTATATCCGAGGCCAGCAGATGATCGGCACGCCGCTGGAGACGCTCTCCAGGACCGAGTTCCATCCGCAGTGGCTCACGAATCCAGCCACTGCCCTGTGCGCCAGAACTTCTCTCTGCGGCGCCCATGAAACCACCAGGCCTCGTCCCTTGGTCCGCTCGACGAAGTTCTTGTAGAAGTCACTGTTCTTCACCAGGACTGTCGTGTCTGCTTCGTCCACGAACTGGGGCGGCCTGACTGTGAGCAAGAACGGCACCTTGCTCGCCTCCAAACCGAGCGCGAGCTCCTCGAATTCCTCCTGCGACAGCTTCGCTATGCTGCCGAATGCGACATAGAGGACTGAGTCTGGCTCCTGCGTGTCGAGCCAGTCGAGGCATTCCCTGTCCTCCTTGAGAAAGCTCAGCACGGACTTCAAGTCGCCGTGATCATCCAGCACCGGGAACAAGGGACCGATTGGCAGAAACTTGTCGTTGAAAAGCTTCTTCATCGCGTCCACCACCTCGGGCTCCAGCTCGTGGAATGTGTTACACAGGATCCAGGACGACGCCTTGAGCCGCTCGGCTCCAGCACGAAAGTACTCAAGCACGGCTTCCGTGTAGTGCCATGGAAGATCAGACTGCTTGATCGAGTCTATCCCCGGAATGTAAGTGATTTCTCGGTCCTCGCCATCTGATTTTAAACAAGACAAAGATTTAGAGCTATAAGAGTTGACAAAGACAAACCTTTTATCGGAAGATCGCCTTCGGAAATAAGCAGTGGGACGTGGTACTCAACAGCAAACCAAGCCGCACTTCCAGGCCAGTAAACAGCGTATGGAATTCCAAATTCGCTGGCGACTGGAGCACACCATGATCCAGCATAGTGATCAGAGATTATGACGGTAATGCGAGGTCCACTGTCATTCAGAGCTTGGATCAAATTCTTGAACTCGCCGCCGAGATCGTAAACTGCTCTTGAAAAGCGCATTAGATCAGCTTCTGCAGCAGCGAGAACTCCTTTCGACAAATCCACCGCGGGATGAAGAGGCTCCAGCCTGATATCCAACTCCGAAGGAAAATCCCATACCTTGATCTGCTCATGAATGGAAACCACGTTGGCGATGGTAACTGCGCATCCGAGTTCTGCCAGCTTCTTGCCGAGGAACACAACTGGCGAAAAGTGCCCCTGAGCAGGATACGGGACGAGTACCACATGTGGTCTGCCTGCAAACATCATATTGTCAATGCAGTTTCTCTAGAAGAAGAAGAAAGAACGAACCTGAAGCGCTATATTTTGGTGGAGTAGGCCAGCTGACACACCGAAGCCCGTTCCTCGCCCTTCCACGTTGGCTTTTTCCGGAAAGAATCATTCTTCCGTCTCGGGGAAAACGAGTGGACACTTGTCGCAGGTTCCTGCCTTCAGTAACACTCTGGCAGCCTCATCCAGTAGAAAGCTGAAAATCTCCTTCGCAATTTGCACTGCTATTCTCTGTAGCTCCTCCTCTGTGCCTGCCCAGTTTGCCTCTTTACTAACATCTCCCTGGTGAAGGCCTTCGACTGACTGCTGCTGGAGGCCTGTGTTATGGCATATCTCACTCCAAACGTCTCGCAGAAGTCCCCGGCTCGAAGGCTTACAAGACTTCCGAGCCAAAATCTCGTTGACGACGTCGAAGAGAAACCGGCGATGAGATAAATTGTCAGGATTTCCTTGATAGTCTGCTTCCAGCGTCTGAAAAGCTTGAGAAATAGCCACAGACCTTCGACTGCCACACTCATAAAGGGGCGGATTCTTGGACGCCAAAAGTACCTTAGAAACGTAGACAAGATCTGCTAGACGAGTATCAGCCACAGGTTTCTCTGTGTTTACTCCCCGATTCGGTGCTTTTAAAAATCGACGAGTTTCTGCAAGACACCACGTTAATTCAGAGAAAGAAAAACTTGTTCATAGGTAGGATTACCTCCCGAGTGTCTTTTGCGAAGTTCCAAAATAGAAGACACTGGACTTGTCTGCTGTGAAGAGAGCAACGCCTCGCTCGCATTTCCAGTGGCCTGAAAAAATTCGTCATCGAGAGAAAGACGACCTTGGAAACCATACCTCTACGATTTCAACTTGAGGCGCCAGTCGTGTATCATAAACTTCAGAAAAGGTACTCTGTTCTAGCGTGTCTCCAGGCCCGTCTTCGTCCACGAGAGCCTGCTTTCTCGAAAGTTTTATTGGCGTCGTTTGGTATGCTGGCGAAGAAGTCGTAAGATTCGCACTTTCCAAACTTTGGTGGCAACTGATATATCGTCTCAGCGTCGGAGTGGAAGCGTCTTGGATGTCCAGTGGCGTCCGTTCCGGCGAAGGCAAATGCGAGCTGACGTCTCTGAAAGCACTCTCCCGAGCCTTCCTGGCGATCTCTTGAGCGATTTCTTTCGCATCCTTGGAGCCATCTCTGAGGCGATGTACAACGAACTCCTGCCAGATTGCTGCTGCGTTTTGGTTTCGGTGACAGCGTGCAGTACTTTCTCCCTGGCTGGAGAGTCGGGCTCAAACTCCTCCCTGTGAAATCGCGGTTGCGTTTCAAAGACTTTGTTGCTGGTTGTTTCCCCCGAGAATCTGGAGAGTGCGGCTTGTTGATCATCACCTTCTCGTGAAATTGTCTAGTTTCTCTTGTGCTAGCATGTACTGGTGGAGAACAGGACCCTGTTTCTTGTCTTCCCTTTGCCGGACCAGGCTTCAAAACTACAATCCTCGTCGAACCATTGTCAATAGAGACTTTCTTTCGAGTTTCAGCACGTTGCCCTTCATGTCCGTTCAACAAGAGATGGAGAAGAGTTGGCGTCTTCAAAGGCTCCTCATTCACAGGCTCCACTGGACTTTCAAACTGGAGAAAGCTGTCCTTACTCGGCTCGAGAGACCGCATCGCTTCCAAAAGCTGCTGGGATCGGTGCGTAACCCTCGGAGAGTAATTCGGTGTTGTACCCTCCCGGAAAGTCTTGCCCAGCACTGACTTTGTGGCTCTTGAAAACTGGCCAGCTTCTTGCGACTGTGTCTCGAGAGTTTGTGCGAGACAGCTTCTATCATCTTCGCCCTTTCCAACGAAGAGCCGTTCCTCTTAAGCATGTCACCCATTGTCTCCACCGGCATTGTCTCGAGACCCATAAGTCTTGCCACTACACCCGGTGGTTTTGCTTTTGCACACGTTGAAAGAACGCTATGCTTCGCAGCTGGAATCTCAAAGCCAAACTGGAAGATCATATGGTGAGACACACGAATAGAAAGAAAAAATAAAAGCAAAGAACACTTACGGGGATCCATCGAGAACTCGGGACTGGAGTCTGGACAATCCAGGCTATTCCTCGGAGCTTCGACTCCTGGAAGAAAAATCTAAGGGGCTCGATCGACACGCAAGAAAAATCAATGCTGGTTTGGTATACCTTCTCGATTCCTCCTGCAAGATCGATTGGTGCTCCCGCTGGAGAAGATCCCGAATATCGGAGTGGTCATGCCTTGTACCAAACGATAATCCACCTTAAGACCCATCAATCCCTGACATTCTCGCGTGCGCGCTTACTTTGGAATGGAGAATCCCTCGCCCGGCGCTCGCGAAAGAGCTCCTCGATCGCGAAGAAAGGAATGATATAACGAGGAAGACCTAGAAAGAAGAAAACGTGCCTTTGGAAGAGCGCAAATTGAAAGCTTCTTACCCGCCGCCAACTTTTACACAACGACATTGACCGCTGGTAAAGTCTGGAGACTTTTACCAGATGATCTCGTGAACAGTGTGACGGATATTCTATTAGGGTAGGAAAAAAAGATAACTTAATTTGTAAGAATTTAACTTGAATAATCAACTTAATTTACCACGCTCCTGTTCATTAACGACTTGATCTGGATAAATTTGTGACAAAAAATTAAATTTCAGAGGGCTATATTTTTTCCACAAAGTAAACCTGTTCTAATGGCAGGATTACGAGTTTTGGCTCGGCAGCCACTCCAAGATGTTGAAGGAAGCTCAGGTTGGGGCGTCATGCTTCAGTCTCAATGCTGATGCCGAAATGCTCCAATTCTAATCAGATCTTTTATGTGCTTGAAGGTAAGAGATTGATTTTCTAGTATGTGAATTTTTTTCTCATGCATGCTAAAATTCCGGGATTTTCTCTCTTCGTCCAGGAAATTGTAAAGTAGGACTGACTTTTGCGGAGAGTCCCGGCGAATCTATCGCTGTTCCTCACGGCACTGTCAACTGGTGGTTTAACTCATTTCATCCTTAAGTTAATCTACAATTGTAACTCTGCGAACTCTTGGCAGTGGTTGAGAGATGAGGAAGAACTCAAAAAAAATCAAAGCACAAGCCATCCCACTCTTGCCCAGCATTCCAACTCTCAAAATTCCCAATACTTCCCAATCACTAATCTGGCTCACAAACTAATGAGCTAACACTTGCTCATCCAATGGTGTTGTGGGTAGTTGGATTATACTGTTGAAAAATGGGCGAAATGAGCTTGATTCTCAACCAGCGACACTTTAGTGACCTCTTATGCACTGTTGTGAGCTCCATCCCAACATGTTTATATCCCTCAGAGTAACAGTGATGTTGGTAACTCTCAAGATCTAGAGGCCTTTGATCTTCTCAGCAGCAGTCTTGAACTCCTTGTTGCCAACATTAAGGAGAAGCTAAAGGGAAACGAGTGATAGGGATGATTTTCTTCATGGAAAGATTTACATTCAATTTCTTGTTGGTGATATCATATACCCAAAAAGTTGTCAGTGATGCAGTGCTCTGGCATGCTAATGGCTTGGCCTACATGGTAAAATAAACTTGCATAATGAGAAAGTTCACAACTTTTCATTTTCCTCTTAGTTTACTCCTTCACACCAACATTCACTTTACCCACTAAAACTCTGGAAAAGATGAAGACATTGTTGCTCTCATTGGCTCTAGCTCTGTGTCCACTCTTGAAGAATTAGATGCTTGCTTAAAAAGGGAAATTAAAATTAAAATCAACATATTTAGAAAAGGAAATATTTATTATATTTTAAAGATGTGAGGGCCAAGTGTACAGCTACAATGCCGTATACTAATATTAGCGTAGTGGGATTTTGGTAGCCGTCGGATTAGTTTCAATCTGGACCACTCACTCTTGTATATAAGTTAGGGTTTTTGGGCTAATAGATATGCATATTTCTGTATTCCCTTTCCATATTCCATGCATTCACATTGGTGGAGGTGAGGGGCACCTTTGATTGTCCCTGGGGAGTGCTTAGATTTGGGATTTCAGTTTAGATCTAGCTTTTGCATTGTCTAAATCTAGCTTTTTCCATTTCCTTTCTTTTGTTCTTTCCTTTCAGGATTTTGGCTTAGATCTAGCTTTTTGCATTGTCTAGATCTACCATTTCTTTCCAGCTTTTTGTCATTTCTCTTCTTTTGCTCTTTCTTTTTCATTCATCTTCATGGCCGATCCGCAATCTCCTCCTTTGACTCTAGAGCAGCAGTTCGTTCAATTGCTTGATGCTATGCACTTGCAATTGAACAACCAAACTCAGTTGATGGTAGCATTCACGGCACATAGTACAACTCCTCTTGCTCTTGGTGCCAATCCTCGCGTTTGGCCGGAATTCTTTCGTGGGCATTTTGGGGATGATGTGTACCATTGGTTCGATCACTTCATGGTAATTGCCACATATCATTCTTGGGATGATGCTTGACGTTTGTGTGAGTTCCCTACATGTCTCCAAGGGACGGCATTGTAGTGGCGATTGTGATGATGCTTTCCAACAATTGCATCGTCTTCGCCAAGGGCCATCTGAGTTGGTAATGCAATTTGGCGTTCGTTTCCGAAGTTTTTTGCTTCGTGTGGAGCCAAATATATCAAAGCGGATCAAGCTAGGAATGTTGTGGCCAGCACTTCGTCAAAATCTTGTCGAACTTGTGCATGCACTTGCTCCTGCCACTCTTGACGATGCTCTTAGCTTGGCACAACGTTATGAGACGTCGCCTCTTCCACTTCTTGCTACACGTCCTTCAACTCCACTTCCTATAAGTGATGGTCATGTTCCCATGGAGGTTGATGCTGCTGCTACTCGAGTCCAAGGATAAGGGCGAGGACGTGGTCGTGGCTGTGATGTTCATTGCTGGGCGTGTGATGAAGTTGGTCATACTTATCGGCGTTGTCGGCGCTTTCCGGATTGGCGACCTCCATTTCCTGGGTGGAGACCTTGGTGTCAGCAACGTCCTGTTGGTGCTGCTGCGGTGGAAGGTTTGGATACCGAGGTGCATTCGGGAAACGAGGAGTCGCGCGAGTAATGGAGGGACCTTGCGCGAATAAGTTAGTGACCCCTCCATCTTTCTTTCGGGAGTATCATCAAGGGGTTCACTCGGCACCGGTTCATCCAGTGTTTACTTTCCAAGCTCGTTTTTATAACAAAAGGTCTCCTATTCTTCTCTCCGTGTTGGTTGATACAGGTTTGAGTTTATCTTCTATTGCTCAACCTGTTGCCACACGTTGTCGTTTACACTTGCGTCGTGCGGTAGATCCAGTTTTCATTCTTTATGGCAACGGCCGTACACATGCATGTGCACGAGATGAGGCGGACCTGGTTGTGTATGT